CTAATTAATATAAACCCTAATCCATAATTATTAATGACATGTTTCACTTTCAAGAATTGATGTACCATCCATATTGTACTGTTTTTTGTGCACAACGACTTGTTCGATATTTTTGCTCGGGTTTATCGTACGTACGGTATAATCTCACCGTTCCTCAACGATTTTTGGTGTGAAATTTGAATTAAGTTTACGGGGTTTTTTTTGCCTGATAACATTCATGAAACATACAATGTATCATCAAGAATTGCACATATATATATATATATATATATATATATATATATATATATATATATATATATATATATATATAGACTTTGCACAATTTTATAGTAGATTGTACACATTTCTGTTAAAAAAAACTCGATCAAGAGTATGAATCAGAGGGGAATTTTAGTTATTACAGATAGGTGGGGGTATTTTTCGTTATTTAGACTAAGTTGATGAGGTTTTTGTAATTTACACATATATATATATATATATGTATATTGAAATCTGATTTGTTGGGGTGTGGTTGGTTAATAGGGAATAAAGTTAGTGAGACAGTCAAATGCAGGAGGTCAAAAAGAAACACATGTTTGGAAATTGGAATTTCTGTCATCATGAAATATGGACCACCGTACCCTTTTCAACATCGAACTATTCTCTCTCTCTCTCTCTCTCTAGATCTCTCTCTCTAGATCCAGCTCTCTCTCTCTCTCTCTCTCACACACACACACACATCAAGAACACAGTGTAATAATAACGCATTAAGGAGAAACATTCCCCCTGCATAAATCAGCTTTGGTCTTGAAAGAAGGTAAAGAAAAAGAAAAAGGATTAAAAAATAAAGAAAAAATAAAAGCAGGGGTCCATTTTTAATATTAATTTTATATATGTATATATTATCACCTTTCTTTTTGCATCGTGTGTTCAGACTGTACTTCAAAAGTAGATTCTATTCTCTACCCTTAACTTTTTTAATTAAATTAATTATTATATATTCATTTTATATTTATTAAATTGACTAATTTTGTTAGTGCATTATTTATATATCCATACGTATCTCTTCATGTTTTGAAATATATATTATTACATATTATATTGCATCATTTAAAATTTACGTCGTAATTATAATCGAATCAAATATTTTATAGATTATGAATGTTTATTTGTTCTACATGATTAATTTGTTGGATTACATTTTTCATGCACAATTTGTATCTGCGTCAGAAAAATAAACTGTATCTCGAGCAAAACGGTCGAGTGAACAAAACTAATGATGAAAGTCCATGAATCACTTCAGATTTCAACAATACGGCGGCGATCGTCTAGACTTTCAAAAGTCCGTTTTTGCCATTTTAGTTGAATATTATCTCATTTTGTTCGTAAGAAATTGGAGTATATTATAACTCGACATACATAAAAATATTACGGGCCGGGCTTAATTCTCACCGTAAGTAGAAGATTTAGGCATGGGCCTTTTCTTAGTTCTCAAATGAAACAAAAGAGCCCAAGAGTTTAGTTTCAAGCCCAATCAAGAAGTGGATTTGTATGACATCACTATTTTTTATTTTTTTTTGGTTGAATTATTTATTATTTGCTTTTTAATAGAAAATATAAACGGACTTATTATGTGGACTTTTAATTTTTAAATGTCATGCTTATAATAAGTATATAAGTTATAGTATCTATCTTTTATAAATTATAATTTCTTAATTATATGTATTTATTTATTATTTTATTTTATTTTTTTAGAAAATAACTCGTTAGATGGTTACAATTTTAAATTAAAATTATTGAAAATGAGTGGTCTATTATGAAATGGTCCAGGATCAAAATGGGCCTTGAAATAAATTTGCCTCATTCTTTCGACCGATGATAAGAAAATACTTAAATATGGGCTTTTAAATGTAGGCCCATATTTTGAATTACAGGGAGAAAAAAAACACTCATGAAATTAAATAAAAATAAACAAACACAATAATACTACGGTTCATTAACCATTCCGAACCGAAAATTTAGTACGTGTCAAATACATAATTGAAAATTCGGTTCGGTATTCGGTAATTTTTTTTTTAATTCTGGTTTTCGGTATTGGTATTGAATGTCAAATTCAAGAATTAATTATTTTAAATATATTTTTGTTACCTTTTTAAAATAAGAAAATATATCTTTAGCTTTACCGGTACCAAATAAAAAAAACGAATTAATTTAGTAACAAACCGTATTGAACCGAATAGTTCAGTTCGGTAAACGGTACAAAATTTTGAAGCACCGAAATTCCGGTACTGTTTTGCCGAATGAACACCCTTACACTTGATATCATTAGACTGAATTTATGGTTTTTTTTTTTTTTTTTTTTTGTTATTTATGATATAGAAAAGATTAAAATAATGTTTTTCTAATTTTAAAATAATCACCGAAAGTGGTGAAATATGACATCATATTCCATGGGATGATGTCATTATGAGTTCATGTCATCTTCTATGTTACCCGTATTTTTAATTTGTTTAATTAAAAAAGGTTAAATGTCACTTTACCTCTCGTACTCTGCTCGAAAATTACTCTACCCCCTCGTACTCTCAATTACATCGATTTACCCCATGTACTTGTATAATTTTCCAATAAAGTTCTCTCCGTCAACTTTTTTCAATTTTGACTTCTTCTAACGCTGCTTGAGCCCATATTTTTTGCCTGTGGTGAATCGTTTCCTATCATACATTTATTATGGAAGAAAACAATCCAAATTTGTGAAGAAAGTTGCTGTTGTTTTCTAGGGTTAATTCAATTTGGGGATATCTTGAAAGGGAAAGTGGTGGGAGAAGAAGAAACGACAATATTAACGAAGAAGAAACAACATGTTATAATAGGCAGTGGCAATTTTGTAATGTACAGAGTTGACCAAACGGCGTCAGAGTCAAAACCGAGAAAAGTTGACGGAGAGGGCTGTATTGGGAAATTATACAAGTACAGGGGGTAAATCGATGCAATTGAGAGTACGAAGGGTAAAGTGATTCTCGGGCAGAATATGAGGGGTAAAGTGGAATTACCCTTAAAAAAATATAAACTTAATTGCTTCTCTATTGTGCAATAATTGAGTCATATCTATTAGAACCAAACTCGTGACCAAATCCAATTTCTATAATTGAAGTTCAGAATTTGGTTGGTAGGTCACATCTCATTTAAAATATATTTATTTGTTATTTTGTTTTTGATAATTAAATAATAAGCAGAAAATTGATGAACAACCACGTGGCACCAAATTCCACCCCAACTTTATTTATTTGTTTTTTTATTTCTCACTTTCGGTGTCTTCTAAATTCTAATTAATTTAATATACAAAATTATAGTTTAGTGGATAAAAGTGAAATTGATGTGCATAATTGAATTATTTTTAATTCCACAAGTCACAATCGTCACCATGACCATGACATTAAGTTTGGTTTAAATGGTTATCCTATTTTTATACACTCCTTTTCTCAATTATTGCAAATGTGAACTAAAATCTTTCAATAATCCAATAATTAGTTTAAAGTGGTGTTTGCAAAAGCTTATTTAAAAGTTGACTTAAGTTGGTATTATGTGTTTTTTTTCAAGTTTGAGGTGTTTGCATATATATGCTGGAAAATCAACTTAAATAGAAAAGATAAGTCTAAGGACGTTTTTCAAATTATAGCTTAAAACAACTTACTTTTAAAAGAAGTAGAAGCAAAAACAGGTATTTGCAAATACTTCAAAAGTGATTATGAGCCTAAAAAATCTCATAATCAATTTTCAAAAGCTTTTGCAAACACCACCTAAGTATTGTAACTATTGTCGCCTTAGTAAATATATAGATGTAATACATTGGATTGGTTGAGTTTGAGTTCACCTGTTGCCCAAGGGTTGACTCGCCCGTGATTCCGAGTCACAATTCGTAACTTATTTATCCTACTGTTTCACACTTTTATTTTCAATAAAAATACTTAATTTATTGTTTTATATAAAATTAAATGGTCAAAATTTATAGAAGCACAAACACACGTGTATATGTGTAGGTGTAAGTCTCTATCGATCTGACTAAGGGAGCACCTAGAAATATAATCCTAAAATAATTCAAACAGTTGGTAATTAATAACTAATGAATCCCATAATAGCTTTTGCTTTCTAAAAACAAATGCAAAAGAACATGAACAAATTAAAATGTAACAATTATAAATCATTTATAAAATCATTTAGCAATCTACCAAATCCTTAGATACACAAATTACATATTCCGAAATGTATTCTTGCTAAAAAAAATTGCAACAAAAAAAAAAATATATATATATATATTGATGGTTTCTACAAGTGAAGATTCCAACATACTCAGTTCGACTCCATGTCTTCTTCTCCACCGCTCGAATAACAATTATAAAAATATAAAAGAAAAAGAAAGAAAAAAGTTAAAAAAATTCAAAAAAGATAGACCAAGAAATTGGCTAAAAATATATATATAGGGTTTTCTTTAAATGGTAGTCCACCACCACCAATACATTTCAGGGAAGTCAAATGAGAGCAACTTTTCCTTTGACCTCCATATATATGGTGGCTACCACCATGCTCCGCCTCTGGCCGGCAAAGAATCCCACCAAGATCCACCACCACTTTTTACAATATAAACTATTAATGCCCTTTTCACTCAAACCCCACTTCTCCTCTCATAATTTTCCTATTTATATTTATATTTATATTTATATTAATTATATTTATATTTATATTACTAAAATACATCCATTTTCCACTTTTTTTTTTTGTTCTTATTATGTCCAGTTCAAACACCTTTACCTGCATAAAATAAATAAATTAACATTATTCATTAAATAAAATAAATAAAAATTAAATAAAAAGTCAAGACATTATTATTAGATTCCTGCATGCAAAAAACAGAGGACAATACATAAAGCCAGGTGCTTTCTTGGTTTCATGCTAATTAGATTCTTTATTTTTTTTCTTTTCTTTTTTAAATGCTAATTTAGATTAATTATAAGAGGGAGGCCCTCAAGTAGTCACGGGTTTATTGCAATTAGTACCCCTGTGTTATATCGAATTGCTAAAACACTACCCCATGTTATTTTATTAACAAAAAAAAACCCCTATGATTCAAAAACTTTAGCACACAACCCCCTAAAGGGGTACTAATTGCTTAAAAAAACTAAAATCAAGAAAATTATTCTAAAGCCACAAATGTATATTAATATATGTTCTATTTGATTCAAGAACTCGGGTAGTATCCAAAACAACACGTGTATATTTATCCAGTGCACATTTTTACACGCATCCACATGTATGCGTGTGATTATGCGTAAGTGAAGTTCAATCTATAGTAGGGGTAAAAAGGGTCAACCTCATTCCGGACTACGGACAAAGAGTACAACCACCACCCCCAATCTTTTCCAAGGTACAACTACCCTACCGAGTAAATGACTAAAATATCCCTCTATCATTTCCAAGAATCAGTGTCGGTGGACAGACAGCAGATTGTGTTTCCCCCTCCCCATATCTGGTTGTTACTCTCATATTTTCATCTCTCAAATAGTACTTCCAATTTAAAAATAAAAAATAAATAAAAAATCAACAGTACTATATTTCATTAATCAATGTTTCTTGTCAGCTTTTAATATTATTTTCTTGAAAATCAATCAAGAAAATGATTTCGGTTTCGGTTTCGGTTTCGGTTTCGGTTTTGGTTTTGGTTTTGGTTTTGGTTTTGGTTTTGGTTTTCGATTCATAATGCAAGAACAAATTAAGAAAGAGAAAGCTTACCATTTTTATTATGCTTCTGCTGAAATCGAGTTTTTTTGTTTTGTTTAGAAAGTCGAGTTTTCCGAGGGTTCGTTTTTCAACAGGGCTTTTGATTGGCGGCTTGCTTGAATGCAACAGTGGGAGCTATTCGGCAACTCCTCCTCTGATGTTCGAGCACAAGTTGCTCGGCGAACCAATCGAGCTTCTCAAAGTTGCTTTGCTCTCCGATTCTTTTACCACCGAATAAAACAGACTCCACATTCTTCTGCTTCAGCATCTCTTCCGATTTCCCCATCAGCATCTCAATATTGCTCGGGCTTGGATCCGAGTCCACGTTCGCCCCACACTGGTCAACGCTCGAACCACTCGCCTATAATTCCAAAAAAAAAAAAAAACCCCACCATTCAATATAGTATAATTTCGAAAGATTTTATCCCGTGACGATTGAAACGGACCCTTTGATTAATTAATTTAATTCAATTAATTAACAAAAAAAGGAGCTACTTGCATAATCAATCCAGTCAGCTGCAATTTAAATTACATTATCCTTCATATAATCACATACCCTTTCAAACTTATCTCATATATTACATACCATAATCAATAAATAAATGTATAAACACGTCAAAGAACGAGTAAACTGCAAAAAGTACGCTTCTGTCATCTCTAAATAGTAAAAAAAAAAAAAACCCGTGATTTTTTTTACAGACTGAGTTAACTCGTGCATGGGTTGATTAATTAATGAAAGGGAGGACCATATGAATAAAAAGGAAAATGAAACCCCACACTAGAACAAAGATGCAGGTCAAGTACAAGATTGGCAAAAGAACATAGCCAATCTGTAATAAAAGATATCTCCCACTCATTAGCCCTCTGTAATAAAAGATGATATAAATAGTGGTATATTATCAATTTAATTGATGGGGTTCAGAAAATAAAGGGTTTCCATCAACATTCCCTATGTGAAAAAAATGACAAAATATTGCTAGCTGTGCAAATTAATTCTAACTCCTAGTGACATTAAACATAAGGCACTGATATTTTATCCTTGGTTATTTTGGGTAAGAGGATAACAGGATAATGTAAAACTGTGTCTAATTCCACAAAGACATTTAGTTGTTGGGTAAATGACGGCCATACCTCTAATGTAAGGTTAAATTACGAAAAAACTCCATTATGTTTGGGTAATTACAACCAGCACCCTCAACTATGAATCTTCTTACACGTCTACAGTTGCGGTGTTAAATTTAGTGGAATCTTCTAGATTATGTGAAATATTCTCCAGCTTGTACCCGTTTTACCACATTTTGAAACAAGATGACCATAAGATGTGTCTTTTGACTTGTAAATATCAGATTGTGGTGCATCAAAAACTGCATTTTTGCACAAAACGAGTACAAAATAGAAAATATTCCATGAAATCTAAAAGATTATGTTGAATTTGACACCATAAGGTGGACGTGTAAGAAGATTCATAGTTGAGGGAGCTGATTGTAATTACCCAAACATAAGGTGTTTTTTCTTAATTTGACCCAAGTTAATGCTATAATTACTGTAAAACAAAACAAAAACACACACACAGAGAAAGCAGAGAGCAAACAATGTCAATGTCGAAATACTCTATCCCAATAGGGTTGGCAATTTGGCCACAACATCAATTTGCAACCAAAAACGACAACGTTTCCACCTCTCGTTTTCTGTGTTCTAATACATTATTATTATTATTATTCCCCCAAAATTCCCAAAATAAATTAAATTGCAAGCTCCCAAAAATCCACCTGCTCAAGGGTTTCCTCATTAATCACCCAAAATCAACCAGCCTGTAATTGTATTGTCTGCCCCCACCCAAGAAATCTAAAATGCCACTATTTCTTGCATCAATTAACAATGGAAGATGATTATATTTAATGTTTTGATTAATTGTTTTTAAATTACCTGAATCCGGACGTAATTGCTGCTACGGCTATGGCCGAAAGCCATAGCCACGGCGTGGTCAACCAGCTCAGCCGAGCCGTCGCCGGAAATCCGAGCCAACGGCCGAGCCCAATCCTTAGCCGTCCATTTCTTGACCTGCTCGTAGTCAAAGCTGCCCTCCGTCAGCTGCCCGCCTGCCCCGACTGAAAGTACCAAAATATCCTCCACCCCTCTCACGAACGGAAATTCCTGCTTGTTATGCAGCACGTGCGTGATGGCCGCCGCCGTCGGGTTATTCATCACCAACCCGCCGTCCACGCCCACGCACCGGGTCGACCCGTCTATCGATTTCATGCAAACCGGGTCGGATACCCCCGGTTCAGCTGACGTGGCTAAACATACCTCCCAGAGATTGAAGTCGTAGCTGTCGGTTTCGAGTGCATCGGCTCGGGAGAATAGAAACGGCGCCGTACTGGTGAGATCGTAGCAGGGGATTAAAACCGGTTTGAGCGTGTTTTTCAACGTCAGGCTACGCCCGGTTTTTCCGTCCTTGAACGCCTCCTTCATCGCCTTCTCCAAACCTCCGCCGCCGCCGCCGCCTCTGGTTTTTTTGTGGAAGACGCACTTGAAGAAGCCGCCCTTGGATTTCCGTTTCTTCGTGGAGGAGCTGCTGCTGCTGCTGTACAATTTCCTACCCTCCGCCGCGAGGAACTTCCACGTGTCGTCGGCGTGAAAAATCGGTCGGTTCTGATCGTTGGCGGCGAACAGCATCGCCGTGAAAATACCGCCGACGCCGGTGCCGGCGGCGACGTCGAAATAATCGGCGATTCTGGCGTCGGGATCCCCGGACTTGTCCTTCAACGCCGTCTCCAAATACGCCAGCGCTTTCCCCGACGTAACGCTCCGCATCCCGCCGCCGTCGACGCTGAGAACGCAGATTTTCCCCCTCTGGTTCTTAATCGCCTGAACCCCTCCGTCATCATCCACGGCGGCAACAGTGGGCGGCGGAGGATCGGAAATTTGCTTGGGCACCCAAATCTTCTGATCGTCGTAGCCGAACAAAAACTTGCTCTCCAAAATAGAGAAAATCTCGTAGCTCAATTTATCGGTATCGATACTCGGCTCCTGCAATCCGATCATCGGAGCAACGTCGCCGTTGCTGTTTAAATCAATACACGCCATTTCTGAACAATATTTTTCTTCACATCACACCAATTATATATATATGTATCATGTATGTATTTAATTTGTTGCGTATACACAACAAAAAATGGCGGGTGATGAAATTGATGATGAAGAAGAAGAGCAATTATAAATATATATAATCGGATTGCAGGCTTTGAAGGAGAATGCGTCAAAAGGATGATTATCAATATTAAGAAGAAACAATGAAATCAAAATGAAGAGAGAGAAAGAGGAGAGAGAGAGAGGGGCGAATAGCAACACAGAAAATGCAGTTTTTCGCAGAGGATGTTTGTTTTCATTTTTTTGCCCTTTATAAAAAAGTTAATAAATATTAAATTAATTATTAATTAAATAAATATACAAAAGCACACCCCCAACCAATGAAATTTCAATATAATAAGATTTTCGTTTTCTCGCGCCAATTGCATGACTTATACCATTCCATTCTATCAATATTTTGAATGAAAATTACGAAAATATCCTTCTCCTTTGACTAATTAGTAATTACACTTCTCCCTTTTCATTCTCTCTTATAATTATGTTTTTTTTTTTTTATTTTTTATTTTTTTATTTTTTTATTAATAACTCCTGTTTTAGTAAGTAAATTGAGAGGTGATTGTAATTAACCCAACAGATATGAAACTTTCATAATTTGGTATTACTTTAGAGAGTTGACCGTAATTTTGTCCGTATTTTGAAACTTAATTTATAAATTCTGTTGATTCTTGATCGAGTTTTTTTTGTTATTTTTTTTACTTTTAATTCCCCTATTGATGAATTCTTTGATATTGATTTTATTTTGAAATTGTATTATATATGTAATCTTAATTTACAATTGGATTTTAATTTTTTTTTTTAATATAACATGAACAAATTGTGAGAGTTACATTTATATATTAATGTTATTATGCATTTTTATAATAGATGTGAATAAAAATATACACGAAATCTCTTTAACTATAAAATCAACAATCCAATTGCAACGTGAGAGCACAACAACCTGTTAATATTGGTTGAACACATAAATATAAATGTGTATTTGTCATTTTTCTGTATGAATAAATATGTGTAATATATACTCATTTTATTTATTTTATCCATTGCAGTACGGAATAAATTTTGTGTTTTGGATTTTAAAAGTTATATTTACTTTCATAATTATCAGATTCAAGAAAAATGAGTGGTGTATTTGTGACACATCCCATAATTCAGGCGTTCAAAATGAATTTTGCCTTTATTTTAATATTTATTGAATACAGTAATAATAATAATAAGGGTAAATTACACTTTACCCCCTCGTACTCTGCCCAATAACCACTTTACCCCCTCGTACTCTTAATTTCGTCGATTTACCCCCTCGTACTCTTAATTTCGTCGATTTACCCCCTTGTACTTGTACAATTTCCTAATACAACCCTCTTCGTCAACTTTTCCGATTTCGACTCTGACGCCCTTTGGTCAAGAGTCAAAATATTGACGTAAATATTGAATTTTTTCGATTTTGACTCTCGAGATTAGAAAAGAGAAAGTTTCACACATTCATATATTTTTTTCTTTGCACTAGGTGGAATCGATCAATTTTTTGGTCTTGATTTTTACTAAGTTAGGGGTTTAATTTGGGGATATCTTAGAAGGGGAAGTGGTGGGAGAAGAAGAAATGACAATATGACGGAGGAGAAACGACGCGTTATAGGCAGTGGCAATTTTATAATTTCCGTCATAGTCAAAATTGACAAAAGTTGAAGGAAAGGGCTGTATTGGGAAATTGTACAAGTACAAGGGGGTAAATTGATGAAATTGAGAGTACGAGGGGGTAAAGTGACTCTCAGGCAGAGTACGAGGGGGTAAAGTGGAATTTACCCTAATAATAATAATAATAATAATAATAATAATAATAATAATAATAATAATAATAATAATAATAATAATAATAATAATAATAATAATAATAATAATAATAATAATAATAATAATAATAATAATAATAATAATAATAATAATAATAATAATAATAATAATAAATTTATAAATTAATAAGTTATTAATTAATGTATAAATAAATAATTATTAATTTATAGATAATTTAATATATCGCAAAATTAATAGGATTATGTTGGTTCTAAGTATGGGTGAAAGTCGGATGGATCGGATCGCAATTAGCCTTTTCGGAAAATTTCCAAAAAAATTCGGAAGTATAAAATTAATTCCAACTCCAATTCAAAAATTTTCGGAATCTAAAAATTCATTCCAAATCCAAAAGTCCTCGAATTTTCGGAATTTCGGAAAAAAATCAGAAATCACATGAGCTTAAAAATTTCAAAACTTAGCGGAATTTTTTTAAAATGTTCATAATTTTCCAAAAATACGAACATCCACATAAAAGTAAAACTAATGACTACTAAATTTTAGTTCAAAAAATAAATAAACATAAACTCAACATAATATCTAATAAAACTTCTAACAAAATTTAATTATGTCAAAATCTTAAAACAAAACTTAAAGGTGTATTTTTCGGAAATATAAGTATTACATAATATTTGTAATTTATAGGTGTATTTTCCGGAAAAACATCGGATTTTTTCGAAATTAATTTCGGAATCAAATCGGATCGGAAATCGGAAATTCCAAATTTATTTTATATAATTCCAATTCCAATCCAAAAAAAATCGGAAAAATTCGGAAAACGGAATTTCGGAAGTCGGAATGAAAAAAGTTGTTCCAAAATCGAAACTTTTCGGATCGGAACCGGCGGAAATTGGAATTTCCATTCCAACTTACACCCCTAGTTCTAAGTGTTGATAAATGTTTAAGTGTATATCATGTATTTAAGTGAATTTATTCGTTTAATTAAAGTTTTTTATATTTATTTTCCTAGTTGATTGCACTTTGTTGTGATGACTGATCGTGGTGAGATCAGAGCCGTCAGATCATAGCCGGTGCGATGAATTTTGAACGGTGTAGATCAGTTTAAGAACCGTTCCCCGTGATAAGAGCCTAAGAGGTGTGATTAGGAATGACGTGTGGGGTATGGGAAGTGGGGCCCACCGTTACGCATAATCGTCGGCAGCAGAATGGAGACGCACTATTTTATTTTGTGCCTTTTCTTTTTTCTACTTTCATTTATTTTGTATTTTTTTATTGAATTAATATGTATCAAGTAAATATTGAGATTTGTTCTACCCTACACCCGGTGAAAAACACCGGGTGGAGCTTCTAATGACTCTTGATATTTACTTGATACATATAACTTGTTTAAACCAATACGAAATGAATGAAAGTAGAACAAAGAAAAGGCACAAAATAAAATAGTGCGTATGAATTCTGCTGTTGATGATTATGCGTAACGGTGGGCCCCACTTACAATACCAGATACGTAATTCTTAATCACACCTCTTAGGCTTCTAATAAGGGGAACGGGTCTAAACTGATCTACACCGATAAAAATTCATCGCACCGGACATGATCTGACGGCTCTGATCAGATTACGGATAGTTATCACAACTAGGGCAAATCCCTGGGAAAATAAATATAAAAAACTTTAATTGGACGGA